GCAGAGACTACAGTGATCCTTTTTGATCCCTGTTTAATCTGAGGTATTGTATCCCTCAGAACGGATTTATCGGCCCCGGTGTCACACAAGAACTTTACATTTACCCCTTGAATGTTTAAATGCCAGTATGGTTTTTCTGATGTGTTTAAAAAAGAAAAGAAAATTTGCTGTAGGTCCAGGACCTCCACTGGGTCCACAATTAACTGCCATTTTTTGCTGGTGCACATGACTCCTGGCGTCAGTGCTGGTCATAACATTGGTGACAGGGAGGGTCACTCTCCGGGGTCTGGACATTCTCGAGCAAAGTGGCCCTCCTTATCACAATTGTAGCACTTATTGTACTTTCTACGCAACCTCTTGTTTTTCCCCTGTGACCATCGGCCCCTCCCTTGAGGCCAAATATGGTCCAAACTACGCTTAATAGCTTTTTTAATGTTTTAGCTTGCACAATCCACTTATTGAATCCCTCTAATTTGTTTATTCCTTGTATGTAGCTTGCATGACTAAAATAATTTTCTGGTGGGTTATTTATTTTTAATTTTTTGGTTACGAACTTATAGTTTTGGAGACCCTGCAGACGCATTAGGAAGGCTGTCAACTGGATCAATGCTGCAGACATTGATCCAGTTACATACTCCCCCGCTCCTGCAGATTCAAGCTGTCTCCCTCTAAACTGTGTTTCATTATCTTTTGGACACACAAACAACTTAAAAGACCCACAAACATAACCCTAACCCTTTAAAGACAGAAACACATAACTTTAAAACCGGACAAACACAACATTAGATCTGTTTATTTAATTTTTAATAATAACATATCTACTTTGCGCATGTATTATATCAACAACTCGCCATTTAGAGCTCATTTATTTATTTATATATACTTATTTATTCATTAGTTTTTTTATTTATCTATTTTTGCACTAGTGCTTATTTCTAGCCGGCACATAACATTTCTCCATTGATCTACCTTCACACACCATCTATTTCATACTCTAACTTCCACTTCTACAAGTATTTTAAATTACTTGGATCAATCTGACACAAACTTTTCATACCCTTTATGATCTTCTCTATACCCTTTCCTGAACCCATCCTTTTTAATTAATTTACCTCCCTGGCTCATTTTAGTTCTATTATTTTATCATTTAGTTCTTATTATTTTATCTTGGAATAGAGACGTCCCTCAAACCCATATTTTTTTTAAAACCATATATTCAACCATATGTTTATTTTTTGTTGGATCCTGCGCTTCTACAAACTTCTAATCGTAGATTTTAAATTATCTCTAAATTTATTTTGACCTTTACCCATTTTAAAGAATTTAGTCCAGTACAAACACCTAGGGTATTCTACGCACTGGATGTTTATTCAGCAGGACAGCAAACAAACACTGTTGTGGTAATTTCTGCTTCTACCTTTTCAGGTGAGAAATTCTTGCCTCTGCATCCACAAGAGTTGTACTGTACTAACCCCTGCTGTTTTAGCATGAAACAACAGAACCTGAAAGGTTCGATTGTTTCCTCACACACTCTCACACAGTCACACCTATTTTAAAGCCTATTATATTTTTTATTTCAACCAACATAGACAAAAAACACCTATCGTGTACACTTTGGAGTCTCCAACTCCAGGCCCTCGCACGCACCGGATACCCAGATGCCGTATCTGTCAAATATCCCTGCTGCGGTAGCTGCAAACGTTACTATCTCGAGAACAACACAGAGTCTCACACTCTGATGCACAGAATACCCAGTTGTCATATCCGTCAACAAGACTTGGTCTCGTCAAATATTCTTGCGATTACAGCTGTAACTTAAATGGCCCTAGACCAACTTTTGATCAAAAGCTTCAGGCCTACCCTTTGTCGTGTAGGATCAGTTCCTCTGGAGCCGTCACCAAGATGCCCAGGGCAGGGTTGGACCAAACTGGCCCCATCTGGCGAAGGGAGGACGGCTGTCGACAGATTCTTGGCCTTGGTCCCACACGGTCCTGGACAATTGGATCTTGACTCTCGGGTTTCAGCACCAAAATGTCGGGTTCATAAAATGTAGGTTTTTTTCTTAAGAACTGAAATACACGATTTATCGATACAATTCCTGCAGGAAGGAGAGACAGTTGAACCCCAGACTCAAACGTACTGTCTCCCACTGGACCTCAAACATAGCATTGTTCTGACAGAACAATTGATCAGTTCATGAAGACAGAATGCTCCATCAGAATGACAAGNAAGCCATAGCAATGCTAAGCTAGCGCTAGCCTAGGCTAGCTACTCCTTGCTATCAGAAATAAAACTGTGTGAAACTGACAAGTGCTCAGTAGAAAAGTGCAGCAGAAGGTGCTATGTTTTAAAGTAGTCAGTTAGAGTTACTTAGATACAGAGATATCACAGAGAAAATAACTTAACTTCAGATGGAGTTCCTCTGGACAGCTGCAACAGCTGCACACTCAGTTAATCCAGTTAATATCCAGTTAATATCAAAGTTTGAAGAATCCATGGGACCTGTTGAGGCTGTTTTTTTGTGAAATCTGTTTTTTTTTGCATTGCTGTTCACATTTCCAAATATATGCAACTTGTATGTGATCTCCTGTGTAAACTGCATTCATACAGCTTAAGTGCCCCGCATGCGCACTAGAGGACGCAATGACATCACAAGCCAGCGAGCTTCATGTTTGCGTAAATAAACATGAATAGTAGTTCTGGAGTGCATCTAGCGGTGGTAGTGGTTAAGGCATAGGGCTTTGAATCCTGAGGTTGTGAGTTCGATCCCCCACTGCCACTCTCGGTCCCTGAGCAAGACCCTTAACCCCACACTGCTCCCTGGGCGCTTCACAATGGAAGCCCACTGCTCCCCAAGGGGATGGGTTAAATGCAGAGAAGTAATTTCTCTCTGGGACTATTAAAAAACAAACAAAATCATCGTTTGTTTTTCTTGCCGCTTCTGTGTAGCAAGATGCAGAATAGTGACCTATGTCTGTTACTAATGGCATTCAGGACCACAGATCCAAGTTGCCTGGGTTGCATTGGAAAAAATCGGATCTGTGTTGTTCAGACTGCCATGAAAAGACCAGATCCAGGTCGCATGTGGGCAAAAAAATCGGATTTGGGACCCTTCGGGCTGCACTGTCAAGGTAGCCTGCATTTACATGGCGTTCTGATCTGGCATGAGAAACCACTGTCTTTCATTGTGGCCTTTTTCCAGTTATGATAACCCTCAAATGAGGTGAAAACAGTCCTTGGAGTCCTTTATTGTGAGCATTCTAACCAGGGATGAGATTTATACCAGTTGCTGTGGAAGCTTCTCCTGGCTCCTCCCTGGAGAGTCTTAAGGAAACTGATGTGTGAGTCTGTTGTGTGTTAGGACTGATGTTTTCCACAATAGTTTGTCTAATTAAGACAGTCTCCTGTCCAGGATAAACAGTTATAATTTTCATTCTGTACATGACAAAGATTTGGGAATGGAATGAGAGCGGGGTCCTTCAGCTAAGAACAAAGTGTCATATTTTGATAAGGCTGGAGCCATGGATGTCTGCTCATCTGCTAACATGTATGATGTAATGATGTGATGATGTGTCATACTGGAGATGTATAAAATGCCTCTTTAACTGTTTATCAGAGCCACTTCCTGAGCAGTTAGCCCAGGGGGGAGCAGCTGCCTTCTGTAACTCTAAGCAACTTCTCTGATCTGAGGAAGATTACAATTCCTATCAAAGTCTGTTGTTATGTCTCATGGTTTTATATATAAGTATAAGTTATGGACTGTTATTTAATGAGTTTGTCATGAGTGATCTCTTTTCAGGAAAAGAACCGGAGAGAGAAAGGTCCAAGGTGCATACACAGAGCCTATCTTTAACATAGTAAAAACATAATCAATTAGGAACTGTCATTGATTAGTTAACCATCAAACTGTGTTAACACCTCCCTATCTTATCACACTTTCACAAGTTTTCCTAATTATTCATATTTAAGAAAACATAAATATTTATGTTTATTTCAAGTCTAATCAAGGTCTCTTGAATATACCTTAAAGCAAAATGTCCATCTTTGCCATTTGTTGTTCTTATTCATATGTAACTTAGCATACTATAGATACCATGTGGACCAGCTGGACTGGACATCTTTGGTGATGGCCCAGGAACTCTCATTTCCCTTTCACTGTGTGAGCCATGCACCTTATCTTGTCTCTTGCTTTCTCCCTCCTCCTCTTGGTGAATCTCTCCCTCCATACCTCACGGCTGTGATGTTCTCCCGCCTCCTCCTGTCCTTGGTCGCCTTGGCCTTGTATTCTATTTCTGTCACGTTTCTGTTGCCCTTCTCTATCCGCCTCGTCTTCGTCTTTTCTCTATCCTTCCACCTCATCTTCTTCATCTACCTTGCTCGGTTTTTCATTTTCTATTTCTCTCGCCTTTCTGTTTGGTGAAAGAATCTATATATGCTTCCTTTCCTCTTCATTTCTCTAAGATTTACAATGTTTCCCTTGACAGGCGCTGAATCAATATTAGCTTTTGTTACAATAGCCTACTTTACAAAGAACAAATGTCAGACCTAACATCATAGTTGGTGAAATAACGTTCTTCAACCTGATTTTTATCATCTCAAAATTAGCATCACAACTATTCTAGGAACATTGTGCTTGCAAAATTCTATTTCTTGATAGATAGTTCATCAGTTTTGACCCGTTTTATCACGTGTCTCCTTTCCACACGACCCCTAGCTCCCTCGCTTTGTGCCATTCAGTTTTCGAAATATGTCAGTCTCTATGCATTCACTGCAGTCCGACAATGGAGATTAGCAGTCAGTAATTGTCAAATTAGCCATCATTTATAAGCCTTGCCACCCCTACCACAGACTGGAGTGGCAGCAGGGGGGGCAAGGCTGTCATTCAGGGTGGTGTTTGCCACCCTGAATGACAGTAAAACAGGTTAAACTTGTTTTTACTACTGACATGGATGCAGGCTGTGTTCACCTCAATTCAAATGTTGACAATTTTGGGTTTAGTTAGTAGACAAATCATAATTAAAGCTCCCACATGGAGGACGATGCAGCAAGTAATATTTGGAGCATCACAATAGATAACTTTATCACTTTGGAACCACAAACAGGCTTAAATTGGAAGGCAACCAGACTTTCACACGGTTTATTTGAAGACGTTTCGACACCTATCCAGGAGTCTTTATCATTTCTGTCGGCTCGCACAGAGCAATCTGTAGTTGGAGCTCTGATGTATTTAAGCAGCATGTAGGTCCATCCTCCTAAGAACATTAAAAGTCAGATGAAAATCAAATAGCCGCCCCTTGTTCTTCTGGATGGTTGGAGTCTTCTATTGTGCATGGAAGGGACATGCCATGACCCTGATGACTGAGAATTACACAGGCATTAATCACTTTGGCTAACTACATCAACAGAGCAGGTGCCAATGATGCAGACACCTTAAAGGTCACTTCTGCATATAAAGCAAAACTTATGAATTATCCATCCAGCACTCAGAGGATTAGTTTCTCTTGTATCTGATGATATCAAACTCTAATTCTGCCAAATAGGAAATGTGAGTTTTCACCTTGTCTGGAGTCACAAAGGGAGCGGGTGGAGCAGTAAATCAGTACCTCCTGTGGTAGCCATCATGTTAAGATCCAATTGTGGCTGTCTAACCAATGAGAGAGCTCGTTACATCCGAGGAGCAGCTGTGATTGGTTCAACTTGGTCTCCAGTTTGCCCAGGTTCATCAAAATGATAAATGGAGACGATAAAGTCAAAAGAAAATGCAACAGTCAAAATATTTGAAAATGAATGGTAAAAAAAGAAAATGATGGAAATTGGAAAAGGGCATTACCTTTTAAAATGTTTAATGAAGAAAGGTATTTATAATCAGAATTGTGAATCATGGTTTTTAAATATCCATTTAGAAACAGGATTTGAAACATTTTTTAATTTCAGTATTTAATATTGGATTAATAAATACAATTCACAATTGCAAAATGCATTTCAAGTTTGATTTCCATATCATGACACTTTAGAGAGACAATCCAATCAAATGATACATACATATCATTAAAAGATTTCTATCTTTGTAGGATTGACTCCTCCTGGAGGAGCATGTAGCGACAGCAGACATTTGCTACCTTGTTTTGTTGACTCTGCAGCAATCCCTCACACCAAACATGCATGTGGCGACAGTGGAGAAGAAAAACTCTCTTTAACAGGATGAAACCTTCAGCAGAACCAGGCTCGGTGTGAGCGGCCTTCTGCTGATGCAGACTGGGGTTCAAGGAGACAGAAGCACAGATACAGAAAGAAACATAGAAGTACAGATCTATAAAAACTTTCTATCATCAGAAATACTTCTAGAATCAGATATACTTTAATAATTCCAGAGAGAAATTACTTAAATGTGAGAAAAGGTAACTCCATAGCTCCACAGAAGGCTCTGGCTAGGAAAAATAAACAGTTAAGCAGATGATCCTTGAGCTTTTTATCATGTAAACAAGGATGGAAGAGAACACAAGCAGTTAGAGTAAAAGCTAAGCTCATAGCTATGTCTAGGAGAGAAACAGGACTAAGCACTACAAAAAGGTCAAACTTAAGTCCAGATCTGCTGATATGTTCCTGAATTAAACATGAAAACCTCTCAGAGTTTCTTCTGCAGCGTTCATCAGTCTGGATGTTTGGATCTCAGTTTGTTTCCATCAGCAGAGCTCTCCAGGGTCCTCATGTCTCCACTAACCTCACCTGTTCCCTGTTCATGATCAGCACACCTGGATCTGCTGTCAGAACTAAACTAAACTCCACATCTTCCAACTCATGTCTTAGTTAGGAAGCAGATCTGAAACTGACCTGAAAACAACCAGGTGATCAGTCAGATCAGATCGGATCATCTCCAGTTTCCTGTTTCAAACACTGAGTTTCAATCAGATCAATAAGGTTTCATTTGGACTTTGTGTTCTTCATGCTGAGAACATCAGAGCTGCTGTTTGCTCACTGAGATCTTCATGGGTAAGATTTTTATTTTATCCAGAGTGGAGAAGTATGGAAACATCTTGTCAGTGAAGGTGTGTGTGAAGGTGTGTATGTGTCTGTTAGTGTCCAGATCAGAGAAGGACAGCTTTCCTCTGTCCCAGTCCAGATTCACTCTGATCCTCTGGAGCTTCTTCTGAACTGAGAGATGTTTGAAAGGAGATGATGGAGACTCTGCTGAGTATTTACCTCCATTGAACCATATAACCAACAATCGAGGCGGTCTGTTTCCCTTCCTATGGACAGACTCTTCTATCACACCAAGTTTCCAGTATATACTGTCTCTAACATCAACATCCCAGCTGTGGTTCCCTGAGTTAAAGCCCTCAGAACTCAGGACAGAATACCACCAAGACCTAAACCTCTCTGGATTATCAGGAAGCTTCTCTTCTCTCCTTTAGTCCCACTGGTCAGATCTTCAGACAGGATGAGGTATGACTGCAGCCTTGTAGTTGTGCAGGAATGAGACGTCTTTAGCTCTCAGCTCCTCCTCTGTGGCTCTGACTGTGTCTGAAAGAGCTGCTATCTCTCTGCTCAGAGCCTCCATCTTCTCCTTCATCATCCCTCTCTTCT